AATCCACATCTCCTACCTTAATCACTCCATTACAGGGTGGCTCTCCTGCTCTCTCCTTGGCATGAAGAAGGATAGATTGGGAGTGTGCGAGCAGACGCTTGTTGAGTTTGCTGAGCTGAACTGACCCTTTTTCCTGGCCAAAGTTACGGGGTCAAATTCACAAATTAGTTTCGGGTTCACTCAAATGGCATCTTTCGCCAAATAAACTATTTCTTTAAAAGTCACCATGTCTTGCTCCTCTGGGCCAGGAATTGGGGATAGAAGGCAGGATCCATGTTGCGGCTTCTGCTACTCCTCCACCAGGCCTTTCCCGTGACGGACTGTGGGGAAGAACACCAAATAAACTATTTCTTTAAAAGTCACTGTGTCTTGCTCCTCTGGGCCAGGAATCGGGTGATAGAAGGCAGGATCCATGTTGCTGCTTCTGCTGCTACTCCACCAGGCCTTTCCCATGACAGACTGTGGGGAAGAACACCAAGTGGCTGCTGTGGCAGCAGCATGTCACTTCCTTGCAGTTCCACAAACTTCACCAGAAGAGAAGGTGCAGGACAAGTTGGGCTGAGCCTACTGTCCCCTTTCATTCCTCCCATTGTGTTGGGCCAAACTGTCACTTTCTAATGGTGCCCAAATCCTTCCTCCACTTCCCCTTTCACACTCTCCCACCTCTTGCTCAACATGCAGCTGTTGCTTAAACTCTACTCTGTAGTTTGCTGTACAGAGATGGCTGGCAACAGCTACTCTGAAGCCAAGTGAGGAGACAATGCCTGGGGTTGAGAAGGCAACCGGGCTGTGTACTTGATGTATCTGGCTTATCGGCTTGGCTTGCCTGCCAGTACTGGCATCCTGCCTGGATACTAGTTGTCTGTGCTAGTATCTAATTGAGGAGAGAGGCCTGAATTTGTTCACTGGCTTGAGTTGTGGTCAGTCCCTGACAGGCTTGCCCCCCACCAGAGATTGTTGTATGCTGGCTCTGTGGAACCCCTGCCAACACAATGTTGTTTTGTCCTCCTCTAGTGGGTCAGTTGGGTATAGAGGTTTAAGACCTATAATGCACTGCTGGTGGTGGCTGGGGGCTGCAAGCCAATTTAAATCATCTGGAGAGGGTGGCTGGGGAAGCGTGAGGGGATGGCAGGTGGGGCCAAGGGAGACATCCCGCTCTGAACTTATGTGGGAATATCCCTGGTACCTGGGCACCCCAGACCCATAGAATTCACCACCAAAGGACCAGCCACTTACCGCAGGTCAGCTGCAGTTTAGTTCTCACACAGTGCCTGTGGTCTGTCCTATGGCAAGCTGCACAGGAAGGTTTATTAAACAGGAAAAGGAAACGAGCTATTTACCAGGTTAGAGCAGAGACACATGCATGTTAGCCTTCATCTATAGAAGGTTACAAAACCTTCTATAAGCTAGCTGCAAGCTCTGCTTGTTTGTCATTAGGGCTAATGTAGGCCACGCAGCTGGGATCTCAGCTGTCTGTAGGCAGGTCTACACTTCAGTGCTATAGTGTCACAGCTGTGCTGATGCAGTGTTTTAAATACAGTTGCTCTTAGGCTGATTGGAGAGCTTCTCCCATTAGTGTTCACCACCTCAACAAAGGGAAGGGATGGTGAAATAGCCCTGTCCGTGCAGGGGGCTAGGTCAGAATAAGGACATTTCTGCTCAGGGATGAGAAAAATCCACACCTGTGACTCTAATTTTCTGTAGTGTAGACCTGACTCTTGCTTCCCCAGGGTGGAAGCAGAGTAGAGAGACCCAATTCCTTTTGCTTGGGTTTTTTATCTTCTCCTTGCCACATGCTTTGAGCTGCAAACTCAGCTGATAGGCGTCCAGTTGCATGACTGATCTTCACTGGGAGGAGAGCTGAACAACAGTAAGTCTTTTGTCCTCTTGTTGACAATTCCTCAATTGTTGCGGGATCCACCCCTAGCCAGTCTGGTATCGATGGGTCTCCTCTTTCAACGGGGTCAGAACAATTTATGTAGATGAACAGCTCTGCATGTTCATGTCCCTCCCACGCTGTTGGAAGCTTAACAATGGAACTGCTTAAATATTACAGTATGGAACTTACTTGTAATAGCTAAGATGACTGTATGCTGCTGCGGCAACTCAGAAGCATTCATTCTGACCACTTTGTTATCATTCTAATACCTATTTGATCAGCATTAACCCACAAATGAACCAAGTGGATTCTAGCTGCGCATCTGTTAGCGGCCAGTTGAGAGATGGAGATCTTGGTTTGAGCTGGCAAATGGCCTGCAGTGTCAGTCATTGGTAGTAACTGTAGAAAAAAATCAAGCCACAAGCATCTTTCTAAAATAAAAGCTTCAAAGAAATATGTGCAGTGGGAACTCTGGGCTGAGGCTGCCTCTTAGAGATGGGATGTGTACCTAGCTTGGGACTAGAGCTGTTTGGAATCTTTATGCTTTTGGAAAAATGTAATATAACTTTCCTCCACCCGCCTCTTTTTCCTCCCTTGCCCTGTGTTTGACAACCTAGATTTAAATGTTTGGCTTTAACAGTGTTGGGTTTCCATTCTCCTTTGGCTGAATTCCAGTGGTTCCATTAGGGTTTACTAGTGGGGGCTGCAAGGGGCAGAGGAGAAGATCAAGTAGAAAAATGGAATCTGAAGAAAAAGGGAGCAGGGTGAGCAGACCTGCAGGCAGGGGAGTTCAGGTCCCTGTGTGTGTGTCTCTCTCTGTGTAAATGGTTCTTGTACACTACTGAGAAATACAGACCAGTGTTCCCTGTAGGCTGAGCGCTTGGTCAACCACCCAGGCGAGATTCAAATGCTGCCCAGCTGACTATCAGAGCACTCACAGCTGCCAGCGTGTGTTTCTATTGGTGGTGCACATCTGCACATGCTTCGATGCACATAACATTTATTCTGAACATGGATGGGAAGATTTTGAGCAAACACTGATGCAGACTATTTTGTAATCTAAAAAATGCAAGGGGAACAAAAGAACAGGGAGGGCAGGAAACTCCTCCAACTCAAGCTAGACTTGCCTGAACTCAAGTTAGCTCAAACTGCTTCAGAGTCAGAAGGGGTCTCTGTCACAATCTAGTTGGGCAGGGGAAGCCCAGCTCGGGAGTACAGGGAGCGTGGGCAGGGATCTCTTCCTGCCAAATCCATCCGGATCTAAACATGTGGAGGAGTTAATTCTTGTCTTTGCAGTTGAGACAGGAGCAGGAGTTCTACAATTTACTTATCAGTCTTCCTCCATTATTGCTGTGCTGTGCAGGCCCTTTTTGGATGGGCCTTTGTGTCTGACAGGAAGGTTGACAAATCGGAGGCTTAAAGTGCTCTCTTGTCCATGTAATGGCAGCCTCTGGTATCTAGCACTGAGTTTGCTGTGGAAGTGGCTGGGTTGCTCTGCAAAAGTTGATTTCTGTGAGGCAACTTCCCATCTGAACAAGTATAATACATGGAGCCAGACAGGTGTGATAAATGGCCTAGGGCCTAAGCCACAGCTGGCTGAAAGAATCCCATTGACTTAAATAGGCTGTGGGTCTGTCTGGTGCTGCTGAAACAAATGTGGACTAGTGGGCACAAACTGGACTGGGAATCAAGGAGATGTGACTGCTATTCCCAGATCTGCCTGTGATCCAGTCTCTGTGTCTGTTTTTTTCCTCCCTTCCACTCTCAGTCTGTTTAGACTGCAGATCCCTGCCCTGAAGAATGATCTCTTGCTTTGTTTGTACAGCACCTGGTGCAGCAGGGCCTCTCTCACGCGGAGCTTCCATGTCAGGGCCGGCTTCAAGTCAATTTGACCGATTTCCCCCAAATTGGGCCCTGCGCTGGCTGCTCCCCTCCCACAGCTCTGTGGCGCGCCACAGAGCTGTGGGAGGGGGCGTCGGCCCCGGAAGAGGAGTGTGGCGGCTTCCCTGGATTTAAAGGGGCTGTGACTTTTTGTGTGTGTGCGCAGGTTTGTTTTTTTCTTTTGCTCAACAAAAAATCCTGGCCACCGGGGCCCCATCGAAACTGTTCAAATTGGGCCCCACACTTCCTAAAGCCGGCCCTGTTCCATGTACCACCATAATGCAAACAGTGATAAAGGAGTGGATCTGATTTCTTCAGTTTTTGAAAGATTTCATCCATGTCTTAGTGTAAACCCCCCCACAAGTGTTTCTAATTCTTATGGGTAGCAGTTACTGGACCTTTAATAACTCCCATTCATCTAAGGAAGTGGGCTGTGCCCAGGAAAGCTCATTATACCATCTGCATGTTTTGTTAATCTGTAAAGTGCTGCAAGACGATTCATGGTGTAAGTTTTTCTAATTCTTATGGTTTTGTTGACCAGCTCTACCATGCACTAGTTTGTCATGCAATTAAACCCTACCTCTACTAGATAGCACAGCTGTATCGGCACAGTATTTTTTAGCACCTCTAGTGAATTACATGTTGAGCTATTACTAGTGTTGCCAAGTATCTAGTATTGACATGGTATTTTCACCTCCTGTCTGGGTTTAAAAAATATATTTTTTTTTTCAGAAAATACCAGACACATAAAATGTCCAGTATTATTTTCGCCTCCTGGCACGGGGGGGAAACACCTGGCAACCCTACACACACTCAGCAACTGGGCCCAGCCCTCAAACTGCCCCCGCCTGGCCGCCCCCGGACTCTCCCCCACCCCTACTTACCTGGTTCCACAGGGGCTTGTATTGTTGCTGGAACAGAAAAATAAAATGGCCGCCTGCAAAAAGTCTCTTCTTAAAGGGGCCATGCTGATTTTATATTTTTTTAATGTTTTAAATTTTATTTGCATAACTGGGGGGGGGGGGGTCCTTTTGTTGAGCAAAGGGGAGGAAAAAAAAAACTTTTGTCTCCACTCCCCCCTTTTTTTTCCTCAACAGAATTTTTTCCCCGGTGTGTGGGGGTTTTTTTTTTGGGGGGGGGGGGAGGGTGTTCAGTATTTTTGGTTAAACCTTGTGGGTTTTTAAAGGTACGAGACTTCAGATCTTCTGTAGGCTTGAAACACTTATTTCCCTTCTCAAAGGTCCCTTCCCTTCTCTATCTCCAGGTCTCCAAGACACTCTAACGAGGAAGAGGACAGTGGTTTGAGGGAAGCAGAAGTCAAGCTGGAGCAGGTCCAGCTGAATCAGGAGGGGCCGGAGGAGATTCCTGAGGAGAATGAAGAGCTGAGGCAGGAGCAGCTGGAGACAGAGGAAAGTCCTCTACTTCTTGTGGAAGAAAGCATTGAAAAGCAGCAGCAGCAGGAGGAGGAGGAGGAGGAGGATGACGACAAAGCTGGGCAGGAGGTTAGAGCAGAAAAATTGGATCTGGTGTCAGAAGGTCTGAGCCTCAAGGCTGCTGCTTAAGGGCTTGTCTAAATTTGGGGAAACTTGCACCAGTGTCAATGCATTGCTGTAATGTACTTGGGGACTGAAGCGGGTGGGGACAGATGCATCGCAGCAATGTGTAAAACAGGGTGTGTACTTGTGATATGTGCCTATTCCAGTAGCCTATAAGAGTCACACTAGTGCACACCCTGCTCTACGAGGGTGCAGCATGTCTACCCTGGCAGTTTGCATTTATATAGCTGAAGCTATGTAAGCACTTCTGTTACACAGTGCTTAAATGTGTAGATATCACTTTGATTTTTTAACTGGCTTCTCTTTTCTCCACCACTCTTCCTCCTCCCCACCTCCTTTGAAATATCAGTCACGGCCCATAATGAAGAACATAGGGGTACTCTAAGTAGCACCACAAAGCCTATAATTCTGTGTTCTAAATGATCTGTGGTGTGTGTGTGTTCTTCCCCCTCTCATCATCATTCAGTATGAAGTGTTAGTTTCTTCACTTCTACAGAGCTAAGATACAAGACTCCTCAGGAAATTCTGAACCTGTGTGTTCAGAGTCACGTGTTCTGGGAAGCCTTGGCCAGATCTATTAATAAATTTAAAATTAGGGTCCAGTGGTGCTGCCTTCGATGTGCTAGTGATGTCTATGCTGTATATAGTTCCAGGCATGGTGAAGCCATGGTAAACGAGGGAGACAAAGAGGGAACTCAAGCTGACTAGAAGCCTGAGTGTAACTTTTAGTTGTAATACGTGTTTGAGAAGGATTGTGATTGCATATATCATGAGGTCCCTTTTATTAGTGTATTATGATTTCATATCTTCTTGGAATAAATGCAGTTGCTTTCTCTCTTCCCTGCTTCAGAGTAGAGAGATAAGTGAGTAGTCAACTACTCACATTTCCCCGGGAGGAAGCCAAAGCTGGTGGTGGGAGGAGCTGGCTTAAAAGCGAGTTCCCACCATCACCATCTCGGTGGTGCTACTTCCCTTCCCCCTCCCCTGACCCTCCCTCCCACACTGCTGTCTCCATCAGAGGCAGCAGCATGGGTGGGGGAAAGAGAGGCTTCCATGAAGCAGTGCATGTCCACAGTGGCCCAGGCTGGCTGCAGACAGAGGCTACTTGGCAGCAGCCCCTGTCTGCAGCCAGCCCAGGCTGCCGTGGACAGGAACTGCTCCAGCCGGGCAGGCAGCCCAGCTCAGTCCTGGCTCATGCTGGGTCCAGGACCAAACCCAGCTACATCTCTGCAGTTTGCAGTTTAATGTACTAAGAGCTGAGTGGGCAGGCAGCCCAGCTCAGTCCTGGCTCATGCTGGGTCCAGGACCAAACCCAGCTACATCTCTGCAGTTTGCAGTTTAATGTACTAAGAGCTGAGTGGGCAGGCAGCCCAGCTCTTAAACTGCAGAGCCGCAGCGGGGGCAGCACCTGGACCCGGTGCGAGCTGGGACCAAGTGCCTTCCCTTATTGACGAATTGTGAAGTTGATAGAATTTGTATCAACAACACGATTAGCTAGTTACTCACCTCTTAGCATCTTTATGTCGGGGGGGATGTTGTACCCTTTGTAATTGGGGCGGGAGGAGAGAACTGGACAACACTGGCAGAAAACACTTTTTTTGAAAATTCCTGCAGCATGCCTCATGAGTCGGCTGTGTGATCTTGCACATGTAAAAACATTTTTTAAAATGGCATCTGGGAGGCTGAGTTTGTTTTCACATGTGAAAAATTCCGAGTGGCTTAGACCCTCTCCCACAAGGGCAGCTTTGGGCAGACTTTTTTTTACAACCGGCATTTAACGAGCGTTGTTCCTGATCTGCTCATTTTTTTGCATTCAGGAGAAGAAGAGGAGGAGGAATGAGGAGGAGGAGACAACACCAGAAAAACGCCAGAAAGCCCCGAGCACCTCTAGCTTGGAAGGGGACGAGGATGAACCACGTGATGGCCAGTCCCCAGTGAGTTCCTCAACGGTAGGTGCTGCTGCTGAGTGTGCTCTGAATCACATGTGCTCTTAGAGCTGGCCTAACCCTTAGCGAGAGGAGACCTGGTGGTCTGTTCTGATACTGCTGAGCTATAGAGTGGAGAAGCAAGATAGTCCAATGTTTAAGACCTCAGGAAATCTGGATTCAGTTACCAGCTCTGCCACAGACTTCCAGTGTGACCTTGGGGAGGTCACTTATTCCCTGCACCTTTTCTTTTGTTGGATTTTGGTCAGCTCTTTGGAGCAGTGCCTTCCTGTTGGTACGTACAGCTCCTAGTGCAATGGTCCTTAGTCTCATCTGGGGCCTCTAAGAATTCTAATACAAAGAAGTAATAATCCTGACCATCTGCTACATTCATGAACTTAAACTGGTAGCCTCTTTAGCTTCCTGCTGTGTTTTTGCATGTAATATTCAGCCTGCTTTATGCACTTCCCTTCAATGTTCATACATCTACAATACTGTGTATCCAGATCTGGTAGGTGTATGGGGTAAGGGCTTTTTCCTTCTGCTCTCAGAATTGATCTTGTTGGGCATGGATTAGGATGCGGAGTGACAAGACCAGTGTGTGCAGATCTCAGAGTGATAGTTGAGGGTCTGGGAGGCCTCTTAGATGCCTGTTACCATCATGCTCCCCAAGTGGCTCTCGAACCCTGTGGTGTTTGAATGCAACTTAATCTTGCCTGGCCAAGGAGAGTTATGTGATTATGTTCAAAAGGTTTTGTAACAAGAAATGTGAATCCAGGGGAGTTTCTTCTGCAATTCTCAGAGGAGCTGCTCAGATGTGGAGAAGCTCTTGTTATAGGAAACACAGAAAATGAAAATCAAACTTCTGGACAGCAATAGGACTACTTGGATTCTGGCCACGATCTGTTTGCACTGTGACTAGCGATGGGGAATGTGTGTGATTATTTTACCTTTGCCACCCACTCCCCTCTCCCAGTGCAGTGAGGGATTTTACTGCCTCACGTGACAATCGAGCTCTGGAGCTTTGCCACTTACTTCAGTGGGAACAGGACTGATCCAACTCTGTTTCTGAAAAATCCCACCTTACCATTGGTACTTGGTACAGCAGTGAATACCCATACCTTCCTATAGAAGTAATGCTAGGAACAGTCCAGTGTGCAGCAAGGAAGGGATTAAATATTCACTGCCTGTCAGAGGCCTTTATGGTGTTGGTGCAGAAGCATCCCCACCAACCGGCCTGTAGCATATACACATTTGTTCAGAGAAGAGATGAGCTCAGTCGCTGCAAAGCAAAAAGGAGCTGAAGGAATTTCTTGCTGAAACAATAAAAATGTATTAAAAGCCTGGCTCCTCCAAAAGAAACCAATGCATCTGGTTTGGAAAAGCATGCGCCTGGGGGAGGACAAATAGGATTAGGATGTGAGCACTTTGACCACCTTAACCGTAGGCTGGAGTGAGGATGGGGAAGCTTGCTTCTTTAGGGCAAGTATAACACCTACAGGCGGAACTGAAACAGGGACCTGAGCTGGAGCTTAGTGCATGAGATGCTACCACTTGAGCTAAAAGCTAGCTGGCTGTCAGCTAAGGTTGTAGAGGAAGTGGTTTAAGTGCCACTACATTGGACAGTGACCCACACCTAGTCGGTGTGTGTGGTTTCCATAACAATTGTAGCTTGTGCTTTAGACCCAGAGGCCCTGTGTGGGTGGGTCAGTGAAGTCTAGCAAGTAGCAATCTGGGATTTCAAAGGCCTTTCTGGCCAGAAAAAAAGAGATCTGAAAACAATGGAGGACCAATGGGGTTCAAGGCATGGAGTAGCCAGCTACAGGAAAAGGGAAGCCAGGCACCTGAAGTTTTGCCACAGGTTGACTTTATAAAGCATCCAGCTGACCTCTTGGCTCCAGGCTACAGTGTTCCTTTTTGCCCTTTAAACAAAGGATGCGTGTAGCACTTCTGT